CAGAGTTCATTTACAGAACCTGCCACCAACAGGACCCTAAATTCAGCTAGGTCGTTAGACGCTACTGTAATACAACTAAAAAAAAAATCCACGTGGAAAAACAGCAATGTAGTGCAAAAAGGTAGACAAATTCCTGGAATAGAGGTTATTGCTCTTTAAGTAGAATGTAGATTTTTATGACCTTGAAGCAGACCTGCCAGTATTTGATTTAAAATAATAATTTACAGATTATATCAATGTTTGTTTTAAAGCACTTTTTATTTTTAGGATTTAATTTTTCACAGTTACAGGAAATTATGGAGGGAACAAACAATGAGTGACAGTGTTTCCTGTAAACTGTGCGTTTGTGTGACCGTTCAGGAGAGATGCAACTGCCAAACAGCTGATTAGCAGAGCGCCCACATCTAGGTTTTGTGTTTCAACTGGTGGTGCACATTCATACATGCCTCTATGTGCACATAAATTTATTCTACACATGGATGGAAAAAATCCACACAAGGATGGAAAAGACTGGAGGAAACATTGGTGACAGACAATGTAATTACAGTAGATACTGAGATTCAAATACCTTAACACAAGTATTACCATTACATTAATATACAAAATAAATATACTTAATAAAAAAATCTCACAAGTCCTCCTTTTTCTTTCTTTGCTTTCGTAAATTTCAATTATTTTTGATGAGGAAATGATCTCGGGGGGGTGGGGGGGTGGGTGTGTGTGTGTGTGTGTGTGTGTGTGACTGATATAATCTAATCCTTCCAAGGCTATTGTTATACCTTTGACAAGTTTAATCTTATACATTTATAAATAAACCAGTACTAAGCCACATGCAGACCTCACAAAGTAACACACCCAAAAGGATTGTATTCTCCAAACTTCAGGGATTTGCTGATATCTACAGTAGTGGGGTCTTCTCATGAAACAAGCTGAAACAAGTCTGAATTTTAAAGGCAGAGAAGTTAAAGAAAGGGCAGAAAACTTTTCAAAAAGCTAGAAAGGGGATTTCTGCTGCTGCTCAGGTTGTGCTGCATAGCTATTTAGACATACACATTTCCATAAATATAGCTGTGTGTGAAGTCCCAATCAAAGAGTTCTGGTTCCATAACACTGTCATGATGTAATGATTTAGTATGGTGAAGCAATCAAGTCACCACAGCTGGTGTCATGGTTGCCATTATACCATGAAACACAGTGCTTTTTTAAATGAAAAAAGTTCTCCCACTTGAAATGCTTAAATTTCTTCCATGCTATTCTGTGGCTCCTAAACACAGGCCTGTTTTCTAAGCAGAGCATAACTGATATTTAAGCAATGCAGGAAATAGTGCTATTTTAACTGAAAATAAATCTGTCAGCAAGGAGGCACAGGGAGAGCTGCACTTCAGATTTTTCAGGTTCTTATTAAAAAATATAAATTTAAGTCAATATGTTCACTTTATTTGTAACATCTGTTTGCTATTTCATTATTAATACACGTACAGGAGGCCCCCAATTCAGGCTGGGTTCACTCCTAAAAAACCTTTCAGCTATATTACATTATAATTGGTCTAAATTGCACAGAATAACATGGAAGTATTATTTTAAAAGTCTGTTTGAGAGATAGATTGTGTGCCACACGGTCACAAGCAGAGAGATTTAAAGACTTGCACAGCTTTTGGATCAGGGCAAGTTTAGTTTAGGAAGAAGTTAGTGTATTTTGTATCATATTAAGCAGGGAGGAGTTATGAAAATCCACATTTCTTTTAAAAACTTTACAGACTGCTATGGTCAGGTCACCTCCTGTACTCTCTGCAACCTATGGAAAATCCCATTTGATTTCAGTGGGCTTTGGATTTGATCTATAGTGTACAGGCAGTCCCCGGGTTACGTACAAGATAGGGACTGTAGGTTTGTTCTTAACTTGAATCTGTATCAGAGGGGTAGCCGTGTTAGTCTGAATCTGCAAAAGCGACAAGGAGTCCTGTGGCATTCAGTTAGTCTATAAGGTGCCACAGGACTCCTCGTCGCTTTTGAATCTGTATGTAAGTCGGAACTGGCGTCCAGATTCAGCCGCTGCTGAAACTGATCAGTTTCAACGTCTGTTTTTCCATCACAAAAAGGTAAAACATATACACCCCCTCAAATAAACAAAAGCTACCAACATTTTATCAACTGTGAAAACAATGAATTTGGTGCAGTAGAAAATATTTATAGCCTTCAAGCTGTTCAAACAGCAAAATGCTGTAGATTCTAGACATAGAGAATGCCATCCTGTTCATGAGAAAGGCTGAACTCTAGGGGAAAAAAACTAATCATAGAATCATAGTCTGATAGGGTACATCTACACTAGCCCCCTATATCGATCTAGGGAAGCTAATGAGGATGACTGGAATTGCAAATCAAGCCCAGGATTTAAATATCCTGCGCTTGATTTGCATGTTCCTGGCCGGTCGCCATTTTAGAAATTGACTAGCCCAAAGTAACTGCTCGCGTCTACACACGGCAGTGAAACGGAATTCCGGAAGAAAGCCCTAAATTGAATTAGGTGGTATTCCTCGTGGAAAGAGGTTTACCACTTAATTCAATTTAGGGGCTTTATTCCGGAATCTCGTTTCACTGCCATGTGTAGACGTGAGCAGTTACTTCAGGCTAGTCAATTTCTAAAATGGCGACCAGCCAGGAACATGCAAATCAAGTGCAGGATATTTAAATCCCAGACTTGATTTGCGATTCCCATCGCCCTCATTAGCCTCCCCTAGATTGATCTAGGGGGCTAGTGTAGATATACCCTAAGATACTTAGGTGAAGTGACTTGCCAAACAGGGTTGCTTGAAGGTCCTTGTCTGAGCATGTTCTCACTTTTCAGTGTTTGGAAGGTTGAATTTAAGAATCTCGTTTCACTGCCATGTGTAGACATGAGCAGTTACTTCAGGCTAGTGAACCTTAACCTTGAAAATCTGAAGTTAGGAATGAGAAGATTGAACCTCAACGGGCACATAATACTAAGGATTTTTCACCAAAACCCCCAAACTCCTAACTCTCAATCAATTTTGGGACTAGGGGTAAGGAGGAAATTGCTCTGAAGCCTTCACAGATCATGCAAGAAAGACTCCTCTCCCGCTATACACCACAGCCCTCATCAAATACGGTTCTGTAACCATCACCCTTCATCTGAGCCACAACAGATAAACATCTCAATAATCCCCCTGCAGCACAATTGGCAAGAGACATCTCTCCACCGAGACGAACAAATTTGGGATTTCTAGGCTAAGTCATTTGACCAGATGAAAAGTATAAGGTTTCACTTTTGGAAAATGCTACTTCAGCTCCGAATACGACCTACTAAGTTGTTTCTGGAAAGTTTAGAAAAGCCAGTGACTGTGGCCTAAGAATGACATTTGATGTTCCAGGTACATCGACTTCATTTAGGTGAAGACAGGGTACGTGCTGAAGTCAGGTTTAAGGCTAAAGAGAGCAGCATCTTTACACACTTTTCTTTTTGATGAATAAATGCATTTATCCAATACATTAGATAGCTTCAGGAAGGACCCCAACCCCCTACCCTACAGACTGCCTCTATTCAGGCAGATGCTTGAACAAACAGATGACCCTCTCGCTATGCCCTGAAGATCAGACCTGGCTCTGAAAATACAGCAAGCAGCAACAAGATATCTCTCTGCTTCACATGTTGATGTCTGTGTGTCCAGAGGACATCTCTTCTGCATTGAGCACCCTCCCTATCACCAGATTTGCTCTTGCTTTCTTCTTGGCCTACACTGTTACTGAGTGACTAGTAGAGTAGGATGAACTGGGTTAGTACCAGGCTGGCCAGCGTTTCCTGCCAGGTTTCAGTGATGCAGAGGCTTTGTCTGAATTCAGAGTGTCAAAGATACTAGCTTAGCTAGCAACCAACTTTGCATTCATTAGCAAGACCTCTTAAAGCATCTGGCTGTGGATACCGATTTGCTAGATCTGCTGCCTTGTGGGTGTGGGGGAAGTTAAAGGAACTGACCATGCGCCTACTCTTGCGAGACAAAACACCTGAGTGAAAAATAGCTGGCTGATGCTTCACTGGGGCAAGAAAGAGGAGGAAAGGTTAGATGAGCTAGTTCAGACCCCCAACCAAACCATCAATCAAGGGTATTTGCCCTTCACCTGTGAAACAGTACAACCCAAAGATCCACTACAACAGCCATCTCCACCACAAAAGCCAGATAACTATCACCACCACAGGAAGGTCTCTCTGCCCCTGGCTAGTCAGAACACACACATGCTACTCTAAGACGACGTAGCAACCACACTACATATATGTATCAGCAACCTTTGCTTGCTCTACCTATAGTTAATGGTCCAGGCCTGTAGGAAAAGATCAGAAGGAGATCTAGTCTGGCCTTCCCTAGCCTGAGGCAACATACCTGAAAGAAGCCTGACTATCACATAGGAAGCTAAAGAAGAGGAGAGGGAAGGAAGGAAGTAGCAGGGAGAGAAGAAACACCTCCCCGTGTGAGCAGGCCAACACTAGGGCAGTGAGAACTGAGACCAAATGATTATCTTCTTATAACTCTATCACTGTACCTCAGCACCTCGATTGGGATAAGGCAGTGCCTAGAAACGCCTCCTATGTTCACATACTGATACTAACATTGCCTTCCTGTTTAACACCCTGCTAGCTCAAGGAAAGGTGCTCCAACAGCATTTTAAGAGGGAGGTTCTTAACAGGAGATTGGTGAGGATTTAAGAGGAGCAAAGTGCAACAATTTAAATATCAAGTATCACAAGTTAAAATCATTAAACAGAAATTAAATTATATTCTCAAGTAAACCCTGATCTGGCAAGGAGAACTGCATGGTTGATTCCTGCACCCAAGAGCTGACAATTCCCTTCACTCGATCCTAGTCTACAATGGAAAAAATACGTACGTTTCACCCCCAAACAAGATGCTATTTTGCTGTCTCTTGCTCCTCCTCATCCACAACATATACAAAGCACGACATACAGCAATAAAATCCATAAGCACTCACTCGTGAACTCGGTTGTCTCCGTACAAGTCACTTAACCCAAAGCTGACATAATGCCAATGCTCAGGCACATTCAGGGCTGGGTTTCCCAAGTTCCTGTACATGCTGACATAGTCCAGTGGATCTGGTCCCCCCAGCCTGTAAAAAAACAAAAAGAAGTTCCAGTATAATATTGGAGACAGACATTTTTAATTGTTTTACATGCCGTGATAAAGGGACTAATCTCAATATCATTAGTCGCTTAAAAAGATCTACGCAGAAAAATGTGAACTTTTCCATGTATTAGCACAACCACCTTGTTATGGAACATTCAAATGTGATTTTTATTTTAATGGGAGTCTTGAAAGATTGTATGTCTTATGCTAAATGAATATGAAGTCTGCACAGATGCTTTAGACAAAGGCCTGCTTCAAATCACTGCAAGGGACAAAAATGAAATTAGCATACTCAAATTCCATCTTGAAAAATATGGCCACATTAAATCCAGAGTTTTAAGCATAGGAAAACAGGGTGCATTTGTCTCGTAAGTTGAATGTTTTCAAAATTAAAGCATTAAACACTACCAAAGTTTCCACAAAACATGCAAAAGTGACTGAAAAACTATACTCAAAAAATGGTGACAGCAATACTCAGCCTGCAAACCTTTATCTCAGTTTAGAAACGTGTACTCCCACTTTTTCTAATTTATTCTATTTCTTCAAGTAGAATTAGAAGAGACTGACTTAAGAGAATACTGTATATTTTTGAAAGCAAACACCATGTGAATACTGGCAACAAAAGTCATTCTCTTTGCAAAGCTATATTACTAATGTCTTAGACCAGTGGTTCCCAACCTGCGGTCCACGGACCCCCAGGTACAGTACGGGGTCCGTGGAAAGTTTAGGAAAGGAAAGGTCAAGAAAAGTAAGGATCGGGCCCATTGCGGGACTGGGACTTTCCACCAGGCAATTCTCGCCCGGGGCTCGCCATTCACGACTGGCCACCCGCACGCTGCCTCCCACCCTCAGGATGGGATCTTGATACCCCTGCGGGTACCATCCGTTCTCCCGCCACCAGCTGCACTGCCGTTGACACGCCAGCCCTCTCCCCCTTCTAGTTCAGCAGTGGGCCCAATCTTGAGTTTTCTTTTCCTTTTATTTTGTTCTCCCCCATGGCTTCATGCCTGGCAAAGGGCGGAGTGCTGGGGCAGGAGCTGCCTTTGGCCATGAGAGAGCCCCTTCATCCTATTCTCCGTGGATAGGCAGGGGACGGAGGGGGCAGGAGCTGAGGAAGCAGCATGGGCCAAAGGACATGCTGGCCACCGCTTCCCGCCACTCTCCTGGGGGGGTGAGAGTCTGTAAAATTTTAAGACTGAAAAGGGGGTCGTATGCTCGAGAAGGTTGGGAACCATTGCCTCAGACTATCCATTTAAAATGACTTAAAAACATATCCCACAGCATGAAGTTACCCATGAGAACTGGCTGCATTGTGAGTTCTCAACCTTTTTCTTTCTGAGACCCCCAACATGCTATAAAAACTCCATGGCCCACCTGTACCACAACAGGTTTTCAGGTTTTCTGCATATAAGAGCCAGGAGGCGTGTTAAGGACTAGCAAGCACAGGAACTGCCCAGGGCCTCAGCAAACTACAATGCTCAGGCTTTGGCTTCAGCCCCGAATGGCTCAGGGCCCTGGAATTCAGGCCCACATGGTGAAGCTTTGATTTTCACCCCTGGGCCCCAGCGAGTCTAATGTTGGCCTTGCTTGGTGGACCTCCTGAAACCTGCTCATAGTCCTCCACCTTTCCATGGCCTCATACCCCTGGCAGAGAACCCCTGGCAAAGTGGAACACTACTTACAGTCAGGACATATCAACTAGCAGACTACTTAATACAATAATCCATTTTACATAAAATGGAATGTGCAGACTTTTTTTTTTTTTTTTTACACACTGTTGACACTCTGACAAGGTTAGTGGACTCATTAGCAATCTGCAGTCACATCTGGCTGTGCAGAAAGAAAGGTAACTCCACGTCAGTATGAGAAAATGTGCCAAGCTATTTCCCCTGCTATTCGTACTGTCTATACAGACAACAGAAAGGACAGATGAAAACAAGAAGACACAAGATGTCAGCCATGTTTATGGAACATAGCAAGTGGCTGTTTAACTGCTTCCGGTATGACCTGCTTTCTGGTCAAAACAAAAATACTCTATTATGCAAAACAAATGTAAAAAGACCCAAACAAAAAAGCCATGGAACTAAAATGGCTGCGCCCCCCACCCTTTTATATGCTGTTTGGTCAGACCCCGTTGCTATAATTTGTTGCTCCTCAGTGGTATCTCAGGACCCTAGACTTTAACTTCATCAGGACAGAGGCCTGTCTGTATGACACTTAATTCCACTCTTCATGCTACCCAAATAATCCACCAGAACTGCCCATATCTCGCAGAAATCTCTGCACCCTCATTACTTTTTAGCCTTCCAAATACCTCTTCAAATACTATTCTCGGCAGGAGTTCGCTACAATGCGCACTTTGCAACTGCACTGTAATCTTCATTTCTCTGTATAAAGGTTCAGACACAAAATTGTGATAAATGGAAGTGTTTGGAATGTTTTTAGAACAAGTAGAACTTCTGAAAGTTAAATTTTCAGCATGGGATATACATGTTTTATACCATGGTCAACTGGATAGGGGATGTTAGCAATAAGGCTAGTCACAGGGAAAACTATACTTGCACGAAGAATTCCCCACTGAGCTGACCAATGTTAAACTTCCTGTGCTTCTGTCATGGAGGAAGACCTGAGCAAGTGTTCAGCTTTACCCTCCTAATGGATGATTAGTGAAAAGAGGTAACGTGATAATTCCATTTTTAATGAATGTAACAGCACTATTACAAAAATGCCTTGACACAATAAAATGTGACAGGAAACAAAGCGGTGAAAGAACGAGGATGAAACAGCTCAATTCTACAAATTTTGAAAACTTTTCTATCAAAGTAAGGAATATAACAATGCTGGTCTATTGCTTGCAATTTTTTGTCATGAAGGAATTTTACTTCAGGAGCTCTTATTAAGAAAGGTGGTTAAATATAATAATCTGAAGATTACAAAGAAGTTTCCACACACATAGACACAGGAGTGCTTCCAAAAGCTCCAAAAGCTTTCTGAATTAATTTCCAAAAATATACAAATGAAACATGTTAAAAGAATACATGTGATACATGAAATATTTTTCATTCTTCAGTTTTTTTCCCCCTCAAAAGGTATGCAGTTTACTTGGTTTTGCTGCATGTTTACATAGATACTTGCCTTGTTTTGCAAGCCAGAGAACCCTTTTAACACTGCAATATCCTGTAAATCACAACTTTTTTTTTTTTAAGAGACTGGTTACGTATAATTAAAAATGGATTAGAGTTGTATTATTATCCCTGAGGGACTGAGCTCTGTTCAGCTATTTCCTCTTTGAATCTAAACTAGTGATACTCTGGAACTCAGTGGTTCAGGAGCCAAATTATCAATCAACATTACCCAAAAGTGCCACAGTACTGTGAACTGTCTCTCATAAATAAATAACATTTATTATAGTACAAGTCACATAACAAAATGACCAAATTTTATCAACTACAATTGGTTAACAACATCGCAAAAGCATTCTGATTGGTTAATAACTTAGGCTGGTTAATAATTAAATCACACAGTGCTTTAATAGCACGTGCACATTAGAGAGCCCCTTGCAGCTCACGAGACTCATTCTGACAATCACTGATCTAAACCATTCTAATTGCTTGCAGCCCGGAGGAATGAGGACAGAAGACAACCACACAGGAAAGTGTGAACAACAATGAATTCAGCAAATATTTTACAAATGTTTAAAGACTCTGATAGACTTTATAACACTATGTCAACACTAGACCTGTTGCTAAAATTTCCTCTGGGTAGCAGCTGCAGTATATACTGACTGTGCTAGACATGCTGCCACTGGTATGACCACCAATTAAAATGCACAGGAGGTAACAATGGTGATAAACATTAGAGCTAAGGCCTAAGATCTGACCACAGAAAAACAGTATTATCCCTACCACTAGCGCCTTTTTCAGGATCTAGGACATGAGTGTACATCTCTCAACCGATTAGCACCGTAGGAGATACTCAGAGCTATTTATTCCTAAAATCCAAAGAGGACTTTATCATAATCATTATAGACCCAATTCTACCTTCATATCACACAAATCTTGTCTCATTCCAGTTGACATGGACATAAACTGTTGACAGAAGAGAAAGCACTTGAATGCCTAAAGGCAGACATCTAAATCTCTATTGCTGTAGCGATTTGATCAACCCACTTTGGTACCAAATCTGTGCAGTGTTAGCCTGCACTCAGACAAAATTCAACCATTTACTTTTCAAGCTTCCCTAGATATTTAGCAATTAGGTCTAGATCCCAGATTTGTATTAGCAGCCAACAAACCAGAAGAATCCGCCTTCCTCATCCAAAAAGCACTGGTCTAGATTCTCACAAGAGCAGTGCATCTTTGCAAGGATGCCTGGATTCATCAGTGACCAGCCCAGGAACAACTACTTTTCTACTTCTGCCTAACCAGAAGCAGACCTGATGAAATTAAAGGGAAAACACCAAAGCATGCAGAGCCTTAACTAAAGTTTTCCAAAGCACCAGAAAAGCTTTTGTAGGGTAAACAAAAAACAAAAACAACCCCTAATCCTGCACTGGCCAGGATACCCCAATGCTGAGTTTCACCCTGCGGACCTCCAGCTGTCCACAGAAAACAGACCGGACTGGGCTCTAGTGGCTCCCAAGGAGGGCAGATACAAATAAAGAGCAAGAGTAGATCTGCCAAATTGATTCCGCTCAGAACAATGTACCTGCCCCCACAGGACCCCCCCATCCTTACCCACAGATGGAGTCAACCCTCCCCACTCAGGGAGCCCCTCCCGGTCCAGGCGAATGCCACAGGGAGCCCCACACAAGAGCCCTTAGCCTGCCCCACACAGGGAGCCCCTCCTTAGCCTACCTCACATTGTATACAGTTAATTAGTACCCTTAGTATAGTGCTAGTTAAAGTTAGTGTTTTTTAGTTGTAGTTTAATTATTTCCCTGCTGATGCCCTCACCGAGATTTAAATATTGACCACTATGTGGGGGTGTGATCACCAAACAAATATTCCCAAACATGCAGCCTGCTTCTGCACTTATGCTCATCAGATTGGAGAATGTCCTCGGGTTTGAGTGTTGCAATTTCATTATCAACTGTAGAAGCCTCTCTGAAGAGATGGAAGAGTGCAATGAGTTCTGACTCCAGCTATGGGCAGGAAGAAGGAACTGAGGAAGACTGGGATGCTGCCACCTAATATATAGACAGGGAAGGGCTACGACCACAAGGCGCCATCAGTGCCCCACTACAGGCACTGCTAGGCAAAGTTCTCCAGGCCCAATGTGCTGGGCGTACACCCCCGTAAGCAGGGGAACCAAGGAACCACCTGCTGATGTTTGAGGCGGAACAGATCAGTGCTTCTCAACCAGTGGTATGAGTACTGTTAGGGGTACTCAAGAGAAGTCTGGGACATATGTCAACAACTGAAATTTGGAGAAAACTGAATTTTTGTTTTAAGTTTTACAGCGCTTATTATTTTTGTACTTTTTACACCCAAAAGTGTCATCGCCTGCCTGGCTACGACTAAGTTGTTTAAACAAATGTGTTGCAATGGTAGAAAAAAAAAATTGTGTGTGTTTGAAAACTGTAGATACATGGGGGGTACTTTTTTTTTTTTAAAAGGAATACTTATAATTTTTTTTAAAAGGGTACTTTATAAAAAAAGGTTGAGAAACACTGGAATAGATGACCACTTGCAGGTCTAAGAGGAAGAAACGGGTGAATGGCTTTAAGTAAAATTAAGGATCACCAACACCTCAGTCATGTTCCAGAAATCAATGGGCAGTTTTCATGACAAGTTGCATTTTATGCTAAATATGAATAACACATTTTTATAATGTGGTTCCAATCTCATGAGTTTGCACTAAAGTTCCCTCTATGCTGTGTGGTTGAGCGGCCGCACAGCTATGTTCTGAGCCCTGTGCAGAGGTTCAAAGATCCCTGCACAGGCAGGGAGACCAGCTGATCAGCAGGGACAGGCCTCCCTAAATAGCAGCGAAACACTGCCTGCCCTATGCTTGAACAGAAGACAAATCAGCCATCTGAGATAAACTGGGAATGATTGTCTGAGAGGAAGAAGGGAGTAATTAACTGGCTTTGGGGAAAGTCCCGTCTGCTGGAGGGGAGGAGAGAGACAGAGTGAGAGAGCATGAGCTGGGCAGAGGCAGAAACCCAGAAGTCTCTTCAATCCTCCTGGGCTGGGAAGGGGGTAAATAAAGGGGCTGGCTGCATGAGGTTGGTGGGGGAAAGGAGGAGTGATTGAGTGTTGGCATCTGTGGAGGTGGAGGCAGGGGCAATTTGGGGTGTTTGACTCACTGCAGTAGGAATGTTAAATATTGGTTAATTGAATTGTTGAGTAATCTCATGTATTCTTATAGTTTTGTCCGGTGTGTGTCAAACTGTGGGTCCCAACTCCCTGGAGGGTCACAAGCAACTTAGAGGGGGGGTCATGGTATCCCAAAGTTTGAGCACCTCTGGGTTAGTCAACTATTCTATAGTCCCCCGGGATGTGTCTAGCAGCCAGTGCACTCCAGCCTCACTCCTGAGGAGCCCCCCTGCTGCCTCTGTCTCAGAGGCAGCAGGGGTAGGAGGGAGCTGATCTGCACAGGGAGCTGGCTTTTAAGCCGTTTCCGTGCACTGACTCCCACGGAGCTGCCTGCCCCCCCATGTAAATGTGTAACCACTGAAAATGTCACAATCTAGTCAGCCAAGACACTCAGACCTGCAGACGAGCTCTCTGTACAGGCTCACTGACAGGGTGGGACAAAGGGGGCAATTACCCCAGTGCCCGGGGCTCTCAGCCGCCTCTGCTACTGCAGAAGTGGTGCTTGGAGCCCCAGGCCTTTTAAATTGCCGCCAGAGCCCTGCATGGCATGTTCCGGGCAGCTCTTAGGGCCGGGGAAAGGGGTCCAACGTAGTGCCCTCTGGGGGAGGTGCTGAGAGCTGGCTGCCCTCAGCCCCACCCTTTCCACCTAAGGCCGCACCCCTTTCAGGAGTTAGCAGCCGGCCCCCCTCACCTTTCCCAAGGGACCAGCATGACTGTCAGTTCCTCTGTCTATGTAGCTTCAAAGGCTTGTCTCTTCACTAACAGAAGTTCATTCAACTTCAATACAAAGATATTACCTCACCCCCATTCCGCCCCCCCCAACTTTCACATCTCCTGGGACCAACACAGCTGCAGCCAGTGTTCCCTCTAATGTTTTACATGCCTGTGTAGAATGAATGTTGTTACGTGCACCACTATGGAGGTGACATGTGGACGGGGGGGGGCGCTGAGGGGGGGCTAAGGGGGTCAGGACTGTGGCAGAGGGGGTGAGCGTTCTAGCTGGGGGTGAAAGGTCTAGGATGGAGCCAGGAATAAGGGATACAGGATGCAGGCTGCCTCAGCATTATAGCAGGGGAAACAGAATTCCCCTCAGCCCTCTCTCACTGCAGCAGCTCAGGGCGAGGTAAAAGGCACCTCTCCTCAGCTGCAAGGGGCCCCTCCCTCTCCTTGGCTACAGTAGCTTCAACACGGCAGGGATGCTTCTTCCCATCTGTGAGGTCCTAAATAGCCTGCTGCACTGCCGCACAACTTACAGGGAACTTAGTCTACAGCAACACTACAAATTACATTTATTAAGATAAATAACTGAGTGGAGTCAAGTATCAGAGGGGTAGCCGTGTTAGTCTGAATCTGCAAAAGGAGTCCTGTGGCTCCTTATAGACTAACTGAAGTGTAGGAGCATAAGCTTTCGTGGGCAAAGACCCACTTCGTCAGATGCATAACTGAGTGGAGATTAGCTTTACCGGGATAAATGGAAAGGTCAGCACAGAAGCGCTCACTGTGTGAATGAGACAGAGTGGATCCAATGACCCGGTGCTTAAACACTCTTCATGCACACTGATTACAATTAACTGAAAGCAGCACTCCCAAAAAGGACTTTCATTTTGCACAGATTAGTATAACTTTCTGCTCAGTGCCAGCAGCAAACAATCAGAATGTTAATAGGATGGATAAAGAATGAATCAATATTAGTACAGTAGCACCTAAAAGCTAAACTCTGAAATGTTTGTAACTCTGAATAAAATATTATGATTATACTTTCAAAAGTTTACAACTGAACTTTGACTTAATACAGCTCTTAAACTCTACTATATAGAAGAAAAATGCTACTTATGGCCATCTTAATTTAAAGGAAACAAGCCCAGAAATAGTTCCCTTTAGTAGTTTACATTTAACACGCTGAACTGTATTGGCTTCTTTTTATTTTGGTCTCTGGCGTCGTCTGAGTGCATACTTCTAGTTCCAAAGGAGGTGGTGTGGTTGGCTGGTCAGTACATATCTCTGAGGTTTTAATCCTGAAGTTCTACTGGATTGAAAATATTAGAATGGCATTACAAAAAGAAAATACACCATCACATGGATTATTCAGTCAGTCACCTCAAAGACCATAGAAGAAATTGATGGGGCTCAAAGAGTGATGGAAAACTGATTAAATATAGTAGTAGAAATGTAGCCGTGTTAGTCTGGTGCAGCTGAAACAAAAAACAGGACTGTGTAGCACTTTAAAGACTAACAAGATGGTTTAATAAGCGATGAGCTTTCGTGGGCCAGACCCACTTCCTCAGATCAATTTTCTTCCACTATTTGATCTGAGGAAGTGGGTCTGGCCCACGAAAGCTCATCACCTAATAAACCATCTTGTTAGTCTTTAAAGTGCTACAGTCCTGTTTTTTGATTAAATATAGAGAGAGATGAAAAAACTTGGGCTACTTACCAGGGATATGATGGACGAATAATAAATCAAATAATAATAATTATATACAAAAGGGAGATTAACCACTGTCATTTCCTCTCTCTCCTAACAGAGACATACAGAGACACACTTAATTTGAAAGACAACAAATTGAAAATTGAAAGATTTCCCCTCCTCCCTCATGAACTATTTATTAATCCATGGAAATTATTACTACAAGGTATCACTGAGGTAGAGTTCAGCAGCATTCCAAGTTAAATAGCTTCAGGGGTATCCAAGTTAGCCGTTACAGGATAAACTTAAAAAACAACAGATAGTCTGGTAGCACTTTAAAGACTAACAAAACATGTGGATGGTATTATGAGCTTTCCTGGGTGGGCTGTATCCAGGAAAGCTCATGATACCATCTACATGTTTTGTTAGTCTTTAAAGTGCTACCAGACTATTTGTTGTTTTTTAAGTTATTCCAAGGTTAGTCATTAAGATGGGTAATGAAAACATCCATAAACCACATTAGCCTGCAAAACAAGGCTTCACTTGTTTTTTATTTAAATTAGGGATATAGTCACTCATCCTTAGGGGAAAAATTATTAATGACTGATAGGCTTAGTGAGACACTTTCCCACAGAGTGGCTGTG